CGATTTTATGGTTGATTTTTATGTTGCCCTCAACTGTTTCTCTTGACACAATCAGCACTGTGCCTCTAACTTTTATATATGAACGAACTTTCATGTAACGAAGGCCTTCCAAAATCAAATTGCTTGCCTTCGAAGTTGAAAATTAAGCTTTTTTAATATTATTAATTATATTATGCAGTTTAATATAGATATACAGCTATGGACAGAGATTTAGCGCACTTTCTTAATATGAAATATGATACTTAATAATGTTATATTTAAAGAAAGTAGAATCGTTGTAATATAAAAAAACTATTTATAACCTCACTAAAAACTAAAGTAGTTCAAAATTTCTTAGTTTTCTATAATAAAAATACAACGTTTTGTTCAGTTTAGATTATTAAGTGAAAAAAGATCAGTATACGTATCGTAACCTAACTTGGTTAATACTTAGTGGAATAACCGTTATTCGTTATCACCGCTTCACATCTGCATGGCAAGCTTTCTATTAACGTTTGGCATCTGTCCAAAGGAATAGAATTCCACGCTTTCTGTACTCCTGCCCAAAGCTCGTCGCAATTTTTAAATTTTCTTTACACAACTTTTCCTTTGACATCATTCCACAAGTTCTCGATCGGGTTTAGATCAGAACTTTGCGTTGGCCAATCGAGAAATGGAATTTTTTCTTGCCCAAGCCAGTTTTTATCACATTTTCTGTATGCTTGGGATCGTTCTCGTGCATAAAGATCCAGTTTACAGGCATAATATCATAGGAATATGGCTCCATTGTATTCCTCAGTATATTAAGGTATGCAAATTTATCCGTATTCCCTTCTATCTTTACTAGCGGTCCAACTCCACGCCATGCCAACGACCCCCATACTTTTAAATTTCCTCCCCCATGCTTTTAAATTTCCTCCCCCATGCTTTACGGTCTTTTTGGTGTACATTGGATTGGCTTTTTGGTTTTTTTCACGATGTACAAATGTTTTACCATCAGGACCGACCCGGTTTATTTTAGTTTCGCCCGTAAAAAGTATAATTTTCCATAAATTTAAATCTTTTTATCTCTGACTATGAGCGATTATTAATATTTTTTCGACAATAGCGGTTTTTTCTGCTCACACGTCCTTTCAAATTATTTTCATTTAAACGTCTTCGTACTAGTCTACTTGACACGTTTAAGTCCAATTCTGCATTGACTGCGACCATAATCGCGCGTGAGGATTTGGAAGGATCAGCTTTATACTTTCTAAGAATTACTTTATCCTTGCGGGGGGTTGTTTTGCGAGGCTTGCGAACTTTGCTTTGTTTTAACAAATTTGGATCACTCTTAACATTCCTGATGGCATTGCACACCATTTTTCTTGAACATTTTACTATGTGAGCAATTTTTACTTGATTTGTACCGTTTTTGTAAAGGTTCCAAATAATTTTTCTTTTTTCAATCGAACAGTATTTCCCTCTAGCCTTTTTATGAAAATTTGTAATATTACTAAAACTATTGAATACAAGTTTACAACTGAGATTAATTCTTTGTTGGGCCAAACACAACTAACTAAATTTAACAAAAACAAATTAACGGTATCTGAGGGGAATGATAACGGTTATTTTCCACGCATTTAAAGAGGCGACAGAAGCAGTATTGATCTACTAATAACAAATTCATGCAAATATCGCTCTCTTAAAAGCAACGGCAATATTTCATGGTAATATTTCATTATGCATGCAAGTGCGCTAAATCTCTGTCCATAGCTATATGTAGATATAGATTTTTCCGTTTATTTTTTATTCTCTGAACAGGCTATATTAAGTTTGCCACGATGTTTGTAACACTCAAAAGGAATTGTCGGATACCCAATAAAGTATGTATACATACAAGTATGTACATGAATGATGAGCGTGACGAGCTAAGTCGATTTCGCCATATCCCCTTCTACCTGTCTGTATATAAGCGAACTAGTCACTTAATTCTCGAGACGTCTCTTTTCGAACTGAACTTCAACAATTAATACTCTTTGAGAGAAGATGAATTGTAAAATATTCAAACTCATGTAGCTAGTTTTTAGTCCGGGGTATACGTCTACCACACCCTTGTGCCGCACACATCCCTCATTCGATCTCAACAGCTTACCATCTGAAACAGGAAATTGGAGATCACATTATACTTGTTGTTTCTTAAGGAAGACCTTCTTGGTTTTCAAGGCTGAGGGATATTTGTTTAGGGACTATTATTTGAAGGAAACAATAAATAAAATAACAAATGGCGAGCTTCCTGTCATAAAAAACTGATTTGCTTGGATGTCAACCGTTTTCCACAGAAGTTAATGTCATTAAATTCGAGGAAATCAACCGCAAATAGTAATTTATGAGTATGTGAAGGCATACTTGTACTCCTATAAATTCTTATAAATATATGTAAGCAATAAATATTTATAATTGCAAATGCATAGAATTTCAGCAAGAAGCAGCAATGCAAAATACAACGAATTAATTGAAACCTTTGTTGCACAGAGACAAACCTGCCACAAGTTGTTGCATGCGTCAGTACTGAGTGAGCCTATGACCGAGCGACCACAAGCACAGTTACAGAGCCAGACGCCAACACAGACAACCCACAACGTGCCGCGAATACAAATGCAGGCGTCCGCGAGGGGGCAAGTCAGAGCAAAGCGGTTAGCAACATCAGCAAACAACTACTGCAGTCGCACTGCATATATTAAAAATAAGCATGTTTTACTCTTTTGTTATTGTTGTCCAATTATTGCTAAATGTCGGTTCATTAATTGTTATTAACAATTCTCGCGAACATACTCGCCTTTATTTGCATCCACTACACACTTCTGTTTATATGCACACCATATATGTACATATACAGGTATATATATATATATGTAGGTGTACACGTTTGTGATCCGTTAAGTGCAATTGTAGTTATTATTAGTTTTTAATCGCCACGGAAAGTCATTATTCTTCCACTCCCGTTCGGTCCGTTCGGCTTGTCCGTATGCATTATATGAGCTTGTGCAAATGCCGTCTACTGTTGTTTTCAATTTCTACATGCAGGTCATTTGTATTCCCCTTCATAATCAACTGCTAATTTAGCTTGTTATTTCATCGCTCACTCGGCTTGTTTCTTTTAAAAATCTCTGTCTTTAGCAAGAGCGCTTGCACTTTAATTTTGCATATGATTTTTCTGTTACTACTTATTGTTGTTGCGTTACTGATTCATTTGTGCGCACAGATGTTCTCTTACCTCACCGTCAACTCATTTCTATTCTTGAATAATGCAAAATTCAAATGTAAAACTGGTAAATAAATGTCGTAAATGTGTACAGTTACACTCGAAATAATGCTTATTTCATCTTACTTTAAAGTAGAAAGAGAGTAGAAGAGTAGAAAGAAAATTTCTCAATCACTGCAACCCCGATATCGGACTTTTATAGGTTATAGCAAAATTTCCGCCAAAGAGCAAGATCTTGTATGGAAAACATTTTTGACAAAATATCTTCTCCATCGTCTCCAAAATTTCTTCCAGGGTGTTACAATCTTCGTAGCAGGGTTTATAAAAACACAACAACTATCGCTCACAGAGTGGATCTTATGGTTTTCCCCAATGAGGTATGCCATTCGTATTGGTATGTTCACTACAAAATTCTAAAATTCTATTACACCTTGAAATATACTGGGACGGGTTTTCCTAACATTTTTCAAGCCTAGGGAATTTTTTAGTTCAAAATTTTTAAATTAAAAATTAGATTTTCCATTTAACTCATAAATAAAATTTTCATTTTTAAATTTTTAGTCCCAAATATCTTGGATTAAAAATTAATAGGCAAATGAAAATTTAATTTATATTTAAAACAATTTCTTTTTTATTCTTAATTATATGCTTTTAATTCAAACTTGTGTTCTTTATTTTTCAATCCGATATTCAATATTTTCAATGGTGAACAAAAATATCACAACAATTGAAAAAAATGAAAATTTCGTAGCTTTCGGTTTAAGGTTACTACTCTAGGATAAGAATACGTTTTCTTTTTCCTTGCAACTTTCCAGCCTATGTAGTACCATATATATACCTAGAAGATTAGATGTAGATTTGCCAACCTAGCTAGAGACTATTTTAAGGTAAAGAATATGTGCAAGTTGTAGACGAATGCATCAAATACTTTATTCGTTACTACCTAAAAGTCAAACACTTTTCGCAGAGTGTCTGCTTACAAACACTTAAACGCTGCTATTACAAATACAGTGAACAATTAAAATATATGCACAACCCATTTAAGTGAAATCAATTGAAATCTGAATAAAGTCAAATTAGCGACAATACTATGCCAATCTCAGAGTACAAATTGAAATTTAGCAAGTGCTACAGTAACAAGCATATTTATGTACAACAAAAATAATTATTGTGAAAACCGCAGCTGCATATCAAATGACAAGCCGCAACGCAATTAGACAGGAAGGCTGAAAGTTGTTTTTGCACAAAATACTTCTTCACTTTTGTTGTTGTTGTGTCAATTGAATGAACGCCGTTTAAGTGCGTGAAATTAGTAATAAATGCGAAAGCATTCAAGCGCTTGAAGGTGTGTGCAACAAGCTGCAGTAACGCATGAAGTGACAACAAAAACGGACCGCCGCCAACCGTCCGCCCGTCACCTACGAATAAAAAAAACAGAAAACAACAGCGATAGGACTTTAACGGGCAGCACCGCAAGCAAATGAGGTTACAAAGTGATTGACAGCATCGCTTGACAGACAGCATTGTTGCATTGCCGCGTGTCAACCAAGCAGACAGACACTTAAGCGCTCGTTTTTAGCGACTCGTATGATTTGCATTAGCATTCTCCATTATCGACATTATATTTATGAGCAAATACACCGATAGACACTTAAGATTGCAATATTATAATTGTTTGGTTATGTTTTTATGCAAAAAACTGGAATTTGTTTACCCACAAAGCAAAGTCACCTTCTTTGTCTAAACGTTTCGAGTTTTTATTGTGCCTTCATTTTAGATGCCAATCACACAGTGAAATCGGGTGTTAAGAAGAAAAAACTTGCGAATGCCTCTGCCGCTGGTGTTTCCGTCACGAGTGCAGCGTTGGTGGGGTCAGCGTCATCGATGGCGTCTTCTTCGTCGATGCCTGTGCCGGCTGTGAGCCCTACTGGTAGTAGTGACAGTCTTATGCGCGATAAGCAATTCCCGACCGTTAGCACACCGCCCGCCTCTTCTTCCTTGCCTGCTGTGGAGACCACGGAGGACGACTCAGATTCGGGATCGACCGATGCGCGACGCAAAAAGAAGGCGCGTACCACCTTCACAGGTCGCCAGATATTCGAATTAGAGAAACAGTTCGAGATAAAGAAATATCTCAGTTCGAGTGAACGCACGGAAATGGCTAAGTTGCTGAATGTGACTGAAACGCAGGTGAGTAAATGAAGCATTATTAATACAAGTAGTTTTTAGTCTCTAGTTTAAACGAAGATTAAAAATTCTAAAAATCATTTTCGAATTTAATTATTTTTGAATTAAAGTTCATTCTTATCAAAATTGTTCCTTCATTTAGAAGATGTTATTGGGATAAGAGCAAGAAATATTCTCCAATTATCCGTTGCTGGACCGACTAAAAGTTAAATTAAGTTCGTTTCAGTTCCGTTAGTTCGATAGTCTTGTTAATTTTGTCTGTTATGTCAAATATCCACGTAAAAAACAAAATAGTCACACATTAAAAAATACCTCAGCTTCTAATTACTTCCGAAAACTCCATGTCTGTGAGATGCAGCTTGTTTGTCGCAGATATCGGACTACCATATAATATAGCTGCGATACAAGCTGAACGATTAGAATCAGGCTCTTGGATAAAAAACCTTTCTGATTGTCGAGATATCTTCACGGAAATTAGCATGCATTATTATCCTAGATAATGCTACAATCTTCGAACAAAGTGTTCAGATCGGATTATATAACACACTTTCTTCGGTTCTTCCAAAAGTTTGAGACAGAATTACTGGTTTCAGATTGAGATAGCAATTCCTACAAAATGTAATTGCTCTCGAAAACAACGAAAGATTATGAAGGAATCAAGCACAGAAAAACTAATTTATCTTAATCGTGATTGTGCGATAATTTGTAATATTTGCAGAATGTGCAAGTTAGCCAATAATTTGAAACTTTGATTACTGTGTAAACCTTCATGAACAAACACATTAATTGACTTCTAATTAGGAATTTGCATAACCAAACAAAAGCTTCGAATATTGAAAGTGTGTGCAAGTATAAGTACATATGTATATTTTACACATATGTATATGAGCACATAATGTAGCAAAGTGAGTGGCAGTGTTGTATGGCGATTTCTAGGGTTTTCCGTACAACAGTAAAATAATATGAAGATTTTCTTCACTCAGTATATGCCATATTTTAATTTTAATGAAATTAAGTGAGCATGCTTACTAAAACATAGTTTAGTTTAGCGACGGGTTAGGTTAAGTTATGCTGGCAGGCAAAATAGTTATATTTCTTCTTCTTAAATGGCGTAGTCACCGCTTACGCGATTCGTTTCTTCTTTTCGCTACGTGGCGCCAATTAGATATTCCAATTGAAGCCAGGTCCTTCTCCACTTGGTCCTT